AATGCTTTATTAAACCATATTCATAATTTTGAAACTATATTTAATTGCTATATATGATTCCCATCGATTTCTTTTACTCTAGAACCACTAGTGAAATTTGATTTGAAATATTTTTCTCTTTGGCACCATAACCCTAAGGTGGAAAATTAGGGAAAATTTGAGCCTAATTTCAAATCGATCCAAAAATGTTTTACCCATTCATATTCACAATTTGCAAGCCTAGATTTTATTGCTTTATATCACTCCTGCCGATTTCAATTACTCCAAAGCCTCTAGTGGAATTTCATGTAGAATATTTTCTCCATTGACACCATAACCCTAAGAAGGAAAAATATTTAAAATTTGGGCATAATTCCAAAACGCCCCAAAAAGACTTAATAAAAATCACATTTACAATTTGCCAACTGATATTTAACTACTAAATATTGTTTATAACGGTTTCTTCTACTTGAGGACTCATACTGGAATTTGATATAGAACATTTTGTCCTTCGACACCAAGCTTGTAAAGTCAAAAATTATGGGATTTTTGGGCCAAATTCAGAAAAGACCAAAAAAACGCAAAAAAAAGTTTTACGATTTTTTTGCTTCCCAATTTAAAACGGCTATTTTTCGAAAATTTTATTTCGTCTAGTGATTTTTTTTTGAGGACTTATGGTAGTATTTGACATCGAATAATTTCACCTTTGACACCAATACCCTACAATGGCGAATTGAGGGAAATATTTGGATAATTTGAGGAGGCACTTCTGTAGAGTGGCAAATTCGTTTTAAGGCCTTTTTTAGTAAATTTATATAAACATGACTAACTGTTATATGTTATATTTTTTATAGAAGAGCTTATACTCTTCTATGTATGGTTCTTGTCTACACTAAATACCATTATTGTTATATAAATTTACTATAAACGGCATTAAACCGAAATTGCCATTGTACAGTTCGTAGAAGTAAGTGCCTTTTCAAATTATGCAAATATTTCCCACAATTTGCCATTGTAGGGGCTTGGTGTCAAAGGAGAAATTATTCTATGTCAAATTGTAACATAAGTCCCCGAACAAAAGAAATCGCTAGGCTGAATATAAACTTTGAAAAATAACCGTTTTAAATTGGGAGACTAGAAAATAGTAAAACTTTTTGTTTTGTAATTTTTTGGTCTTTTCTAAATTTCGCCCAAAAATCCCATAATTTTTGATTTCACAAGCTTGGTGTCAAAGGACAAAATGTTCTACAGCAAAATCCATTATGAGTCCTCAAGTTGAAGAAATCGTTATAAATAATATATAGTAGTTAAATATCAGTTGGCAAATTGTCAATGTAATTTTTGTTGAGCATTTTTTGAGGCGTTGTTGAATTAGGTCCAAATTTCCCCTATTTTTTCACCTTAGGGTTATGATACCAAAGGGAAAAATTTTCTACATCAAATTTCACTAGAAGTTCTAGAGTAAAAGAAATCGGTCGGAATACTATTTAGCAATAAAATATAGGTTTAAAAATTGTGAATATGTTTCAATAAAGCATTTTTGGGTCTTTTTGAAATTTGGTCCAAATTTTCCTTTAATTTAGACTATAGGGGTATAGTGTCAAAGGGGAAAATATTTTACAAGAAATTCCACTATGGGCTCTAAAGCAAAAGAAATCGGTAGGAGTAATATATAACAATATAATATAGGCTTGAAATTGTGAATAGGGTCTAATAAAGCATTTTTGGGTCTTTTTGAAATTTGGCCCAAATTTCCTCCTAATTTTTACTATAGGGATATGGTGTCAAATGGAAAAATATTCTACATAAAATTCCACTAGGGGCTCCAGAGCAAAAGAAATCGGTAGGTGTAGTAATTAAAAAGAAAATAAAGGCTTTAAAATTGTGAATCTGTTTTTTGTTGAGAATTTTTGAGTCTTTTGAAACCTGACTCAAATTTGTCCTAATTTTTCACCTTGGGGGTATGGTGTGAAAGGAGAAATTATTCTAAATCAAATTTCACTAGATAGATATATACTAATTATTTAAAAGACAACAACAACAAAAAATATAAACTTCAGAAAAAACTTGCTTAAAAACGCCAAAGAGTCAACATTGAAGGAGTTATGGCCATTAAAAAAATACCTGATGCTAAAAACATGCTAAAAATGCCGAAAAGTCGATACTTTACTCCATATGGCGATTTGAAAATAGACAATTTTTGCCTTTTGAAAAGTTAACATTTAAAGAGTTATGGACATTTTAAAAATGGCCTATGTTTAAGGATTTATGGTCACATTCAGAAAACTGTTGAAGAATACGCTATAACGTCCAAATATATATTTCCGCCCTACTAAAGACGTTTTTAAACATTTTTCGATGGATGTGGAAGCTTTGGCGCATGAGGTGAGTTTTAGGCCCGAGTTTTGAATAGAATTCGACCTTAAGCAATGATAAAATGTATTTAAATATGTTTTTAAGCATTTTTCGTGTAATTTCCAAAAGTTTTAATGGTGTGGTGAGTTTTGATGGAAATTCACCACACCACAAAAAATGCTCTTAATTGAAGGATATTCAATTTCCTTTTCAAAAAATCATAAAATTTATATCCTACACAAGTGTAACGTAAATGGTTGCCATATTTTATTTTCAAAATTTTTGTTTACCGGTACAAATAGGCAAAATTTTGAACTTTTTGCGCTTTAAGACAGGAATTCGACCTTAAAAAAACGTTGCAATTGATTTATTTCTGTTTATAAGTATCTTTTTGTGCATTTCCAGAGGTTTGAAAGGTGTGGTGAGTTTTGATGGAAATTCACCACACTGCCAAAAATGCTCTAAATTAAGGAATATTCATTTTCCTTTTTAAAAAAATCATAAAATTAATGTCTGGCTCAACTGTAATGTAAATGGTTGCCATATTTCTGTAAAAATTTCTGGTTACCGTTAGCAAATGAGGCAATTTTTCAATATTTGCGTTTTTAGATAGGAATCTGACCTTAAAAAAAACGTTGCTATTTATTTAATTATGTTTATGAGTAACTTTTCCTGCTTTTCCAAAAGTTTAAAAGGTGTGGTGAGTTTTGATGGAAATTCACCACACCACCAAAAATGCTCTAAATTGAAGGACATTTATTGTCCTTTTCAAAAAATCATAAAATTTATGTCTGGCACAGCGGTAACATAAATGGTTGCCATATTTTTCTAGAAATCTTTGTTTACCGTTAGCAAATGATGCAAATTTTCAATATTTTGCGCCTTTTGATAGGAATTCGACCTTAAAAAACGTTGCAATTTATTTAATAATGTTTATGAGTAACTTTTCGTGCCTTTTCAAAAGTTTAAAAGGTGTGGTGAGTTTGAAACATAATTCACCACACCGCCAAAAATGCTCTAAATTGAAGTATTTTCATTTTCCTTTTCAAAAACTCATAAATTTTTTTGTCTGGCACAGCTGTAACGTAAATGGTTGCCATATTTTTTCAAAATTGTTGTTTACCGTTAGCAAATAAGGCAAATTTTCAATATTTTGCACTTTTAGACAGGAAGTCGACCTCAAAAAAACATTGTAATTTACTTAATTCTGTTTATGAGTATCTTTTTGTGCATTTCCAAAAGTTTAAAATGTGTGGCGAGTTTTGAAGAAAATTCACCACACCACTAAAAATGCTCTAAATTGATGGTTATTCATTTTGCTTAGCAAAAAACCTTAAATTTGATGGCTGGTACAACTGTGGCTTAAATAAGTGAAAAAAAAACTTCGTTTACCGTTACCAAATAAGGAAAATTTTAAATATTTTGAGCTTTTTGATAGGAATCGTACCCTAAAAAACATTGCAATTTATTTAATTATGTTTATGAGTAACTTTTCCTGCATTTCCAGAGGTTTGAAAGGTGTGGTGAGTTTTGATGGAAATTCACCACACCACTAAAAATACTCTAAATAGAAGGATATTAATTTTCCTTTTCAAAAAAATCGTGAAATTTATGTCTGGCACAACTATAACGTAAATGGTTGCCATATTTTCGTAAAAATCTTTGTTTACCATTTGTAAAAAAGGAGAATTTTAAATGTTTTGAAAGGAATCCGACCTTAAAAAACGTTGCAATTTATTTAATTATGTTTTTCAGTATCTTTTCGTGCATTTCCAGAGGTTTTAGAGGTGTGGTGAGTTTTGATGAAAATTCACCACAACGCGTATATTGTTCAAAATTATTGCTACATTGATTTAACGTAAGAAAACAATATTAAAATGTTTTTTTCTACATGTCATGTCATTATTGTCGCTATTAATATTCTGAAGAAATTTTTTTCAAAAAAAAAAAAAAAAGTAAAAAAGACATGGGCCAGGTATATTTGGCTAATACGGACGTACAAAACATTGTTTACGCTATGTCGAATTTTAGATAACGCTGTAATTCATTATTTTCTTAGCCCGAACAGTGTTGCCATCACCTCCTGTATTTTTCAAATAAATAAAACAGTTCTAATTTTAAGTATTTTTGTTTTCATAATTTGGCTTCTTTTATTTTTGTATACTTAACAAACTTTTTACAATAGTATTATTTAGTGTTATTACAATTGTATTGGGATTTTGTTGTTTTATTTTTATATGTATATGTATATGCTTCTCTTATTATTTATTATATACCATTTTTGTTTTTTACTTTCCATTTTTTGTTTCTCTTTTGTGATTTAACATTTACAAAAAATATATATGTAATTAGAAACAAATCGTTAATGGTAAAAAATTAAATTAGTATTTGTTTATGATATTTTCGTTTTTTTTTTAATGGCTTATTAAAAATTATATTTAATTATTATATAATAATAAAAAAGAAGAACACATTTAAGCAAAGAGAAAATTTCAATGGAATTCTATTTTTTTTGAGTATAAAAATAAAGGCAGAGATTGGGTAATGAGAGAATTTGAAAAAAAGTTGAGAATTCATTTTGAGAGAGTGTTTTTGTTTGGAGATATTTTTGGTAAAATATTTTATTTATCTATTTGTTTATAGTTAGCTGGATATGTTGCATGCTCGAATTTTGTAATTTTCCAGGAATTGCATTGTCTTAAGCGTGTTTCGGAGTTTTCTTTGATTTTTCTTTGTTATTGTGCATTATCCATAGTTAGGTTTGTTCGTTCGTCGTAAGGTTTTGGCGCGATATGTTATTCTTTTTTTCTTCTTCTTCGTCGTCATCTTCACTCACTTAAATTTAAAAATATGACACATCTGGATTCGTTTTTGTTGTTTGTTTAAAAATTATTTTCTTGTTGTTTTTGTTTTTCATTACGTTAGTTTTGGCTTAATATTTAGTTTTTTATTTTTTATTTTGTAAAAAAAGAAACTAAATTAGTGTGTTGTTTTTTTTTTTTTTGAAATTTTGATTTTGAGTTAGATTTTTCATAGTTTGGTTTTTGTTTTTTTTTTTTTTTGTGTGGTTGTTGCAAAAGTGCAGTATAATCCAAGTTTGGGGGGGTTTTTTAAGAAAAATGTTTTAAATAATAATTTTTTTTAACTAAAAAAACTATTAAACGACTGGGGGCTCGGTACCATCGAAATCAACATCCTCATCCGCACTAAAAAAAATAATAAAAAATAAAAAATTATTAAAATAAAATTAAAAAAGTGAAAAAATTAAAGATTCTAAAAAAAAAAGTTCAACATTTACTTATAACAAAAGAATTCGACCTTAAACAATATTAAAATCTATTTAAATATGTTTGTAGGTGTTTTTCTGAGTATTTCCAAAAGTTAAAGTGGTGTGGTGAGTTTGGAAGAAAATTCACCACACCATAAAAACTGCTCCAAATTGAAGAAAATTGACTTTGCTTAACAAAAAATCATGAAATTTATGTTGACGGCAACTGTAACTTAAGTTCTTGGATATATTTTTGAAAAAAAAAAAAAAAATTGTGGTTATTCGCATTTTTCAAGGAATATTATCATGTTTTGTGGCGTTTAAATGGAATTTCACGCTTCAATAACCACTAAATTTATTTAAATGTGTTTATAATTGTTTTTACGAGTATTTCCAAAAGTTTGGGAGGTGTGGTGAGTTTTGACACAAAATTCACCACACCGAAAAAAATGCTCCAAATTGAAGGAAATTTATTTTGCTTGACAAAAAATCATGAAATTTATGTCGACGGCAACTGTAACTTAAGTTCTTGGTCATATTTTCAAGGAATATTAACTTTTTTATGGCGTTTTAATGGAAATTCGACCTTCAACAACAATGGAGTTTATTTAAATATGATTATAGGTGTTTTTCTGAGTATTTCCAAAAGTTTGAAAGGTGTGGTGAGTTTGATACAAAATTCACCACACCACCAAAAATGCTCCAAAGTGAAGAAAATTGATTTTGCTTAACAAAAAATCATGAAATTTATGTCAGACTCAACTGTAACGTAAATGGTTGCCACATTTTTGTAAAAAATCTCTGATTATTCAACAACAATGGAATTTATTTAAATATGATTGCAGTTGTTTTTCTGAGTATTTCTCAAAGTTTGAGAGGTGTGGTGAACTTGGAAGAAAATTCACCACACCACCAAAAAATGCTCCGAATTGCAGAAAATTGATTTTACTTAGCAAAAAATCATGAAATTTATGCCAGTCTCAACCGTAATGTAAATGGTTGCCATATTTTTGTAAAAAAATCTCTGATTATTCGCTATTTTTAAGGAATATTATTATTTTTTGTGGCGTTTCAATGGAAATGTAACCTCCAACATCAATGAAATTTATTTAAGTATGATAACAGGAGTTTTTCTGAATATTTCCAAAAGTTTGAGAGGTGTGGTGAGTTTTGAAGAAAATTCACCACACCACCAAAAATGCTCCAAATTGAAGAAAATTGATTTTTCTTGACGAAAAATATCATGAAATTTGCGTCAGACTCATCTGTAACTTAAATGGTTGCCATATTTTTGTAAAAATGTTTGATAATCGAAAATTTTTAAGTGATAATTTTTCTTCTTTTAACAATCATATTTATTTGTATCTGTTTATGACTATATTTCTGGGCATTTCAAAAAGTTTCAGAGGCGTGGTGAGTTTGCCACAAAATTCACCACACCGCAAAAAATTCTCCAAATTGAAGAACATTATTTTTTCTTCTTTGTCATATTTTTTGTAAAACCATAAAAAATGAAAAAACATTTGGAAAATTGAAAAAAAAATATTTAAACATAATAATAACAAAATAAAATAAGGAATAATGATAGATGACGAAAAAGTTTCAATACAAAAATCAATGTTGTTTTTAATTATTAAGAAATATAATTAATTATTAAAAATAAATAAATAATATTTAAAATATATGTATATTTAAAATAAAATTTCATATTTATAAAATTGGAAAAAAATCAGGTGCAGTTTTTCACATACAGTTTGTATAATACACAATATTATGCTATAATATCAATTATTGATTTATTTCACAGCGCTTTATAATATGTTTATTTAATAATATTTTTTTATTTTTATAATTAATAGTATACTTTTCGTTTATCAATAAAAATAATACAAGATTATAATAACAATAAGTTTAAAAAATATAAAAATGAAAAAAATTATAAAATAAAAAAAAATACTATAAAATATATAAATATAAAAAATATATAAAATATAAATATAAAAAATATAAAATTAGAAGATAAAGGTTTAAAAACTCATATTATCTTAAAAAATAATAGTTTTTTTATTAAAGATATACATTTTTTATAACTTAACAAAAATATTAAAAAACAAAAAATAAATAAATTAATTAATAAGAAATCTGAAAGATATGCCTAAAATCTGTTTTAAGAACTTAAATTTAAATTTTAAGCAATCCTGATTTTTTATTTTTAAAACAATATTTATATTTAAAAAAAAAAAAACAAAATAATTTTAGGTAAGACCCAAAAGAAATAAAAATAAAAAATAAATTTTATAAAAAAAAAATAATTTAAAATATAATTTAAAAGTATTTTTATTATTTTTTAACTTAACAAAAACTATTTAATATATATAAATAACAAAAAAAAAGATAAATATATTAAAAATCTGAAGGAAATGCCTAAAATCAGTTTTAATAACTCAAATAAAAATTTAAAAAAAAAACCTGATTTTTAATTTTTATTAAGAAAATATAGCATTTTTTATTTTTTTTTTTAAATTATTTAAGCAAAAAAAAAAATATAAATACATAAAAAATAATAATTTTAGTTAAGACCTAAAAGAAATACCTAAAATCACTTTTAAAAATCCTATTTTTTTCTTTGATTTTAAAAACAAATAACAGCTTACTCATTCAATAATAACAATATTTAATATATTCTTTAAAAGCTTAGCTATTCTTGTTTGCATAACTATTATAAGTATATGTTCCATGATAAGATACTTTTATATTTTTCCTATATATATTAGATGCGATTTTTATGATACAAATGCTTTATGTGTTACAATGATATTTTTATATCTGGATATGATAGTTTAGTTTTTTTTTTCTTAGAATTTAATGATATTCCGCCAACAATTTTAAGGTTGTTGCGAATGACAATGTTTATTATTTTCCCATTTTTGCTACTTTTATGTGTAAAAATCATTTGTCTATTTAAATACTAGGCAAAAACGCAAACTTGGACAAAAAACGCTTAATTAGCCACACAACATAACAGAGATAACGGACAGCAATCAAAGCGAGAGAGAGAGAGAATTGTAATTATTTCAATCTCCTTTCAGTGAATAGCACCGGAGATGGAAATATTGCATTGTGAGAAGGCTGGCATAGTATTTGGATTATTTTTATTAAATTGTGTATTTTTCCTCGAAATATTTAGAAAATTCCCTTACTTTCCCCACTTTCTTTAAAGCAAATATTTTGAAACTCTTGAAATAGGTTTTTAAATGTTCTCATGCTAAGGCTTCAAATTTTCCTTATTTTATTAAAAAATTCACTCATATTTTCCACGATCCCCGAAAAATTTTAAAATTCCCTCATATTCCTTTTTTTCTGTGAAATTGTTGTCACCAGAGATGGAAATATTGTGTTGTAAATAAGGAACTTTTTGCAAGGGTGGTGAGAAGGCTGGCATAGTATTTGGATTATTTTTAATAAATTGGAGATATTTTTGAAAATTTTCAAAAATTCCCTCATTTTCCCCATATTCCGAAAATTTGCGTCATAACCTAATAAATTCCTCTGAAAAGGGGAAAAAATTCATCATTTCTTTCTCCCGAAAATTCCCATTTTTCCACGTTTTATTGGGAAACAGATTTTATTTTGTCATCCCCTCATTTTCCCCATTTTTAACAAAAATTCTGTGGAATATCGATAAAAATAATGCAAACTAAAGTAAATAACTGCATCTCTTGATAATATTTAATTTTTTCCATATTGTCCTAAATTCCTACATTTTTCAAAAAATTCGATCATTTTTCCAAATAAAAAACAATATTTTCCAATAAAATACTGTCTTGCCTATAGTTTTAACATTTCTAGTCAGATTCATTCAAATTTTTTATATCATGTATTGTCTCAGCCAATTTTTGCAAAAATTCCCTCATTTTCCCTACATTTACAAAATTTGGGAATGTTATTAAATTACAAAATCTGATAAAAATTCCTTTGAAAAGGGGAATCAATTCTTCATTTTTTTTCGAAAATTCCAATTTTCCACGTTTTTATTGGGAAACCGATTTTTTCTGTAATCCCCTATATTTTCCCTGTTTTCAACAAAAATTCTGGGAAATACCGGAAAAAATAATGCAAACTAACGTAAATAACTGCAGCCCTTGATAATATGAACCATATTGTCCGAAATTCCTAAATTTTTTAAAAATTCCCTCATTTTCCCCACATTTACAAATTTCCAAAGTTTTTCTAAAAAAAAAGCAAAATTTGTGACAGTCATTAAATTAATCTGATAAAAATTCTTCTGAAAAGGAGAATCAATTCGTCATTTATTTTTCCCGAAAATTCCTATATTTTCCACGTTTTATTGGGAAACGGATTTTCCCCATTTTCTATAAAAATTCTCAGAAATATTAAAAAAAGTTATACCAACTCATGTAAATAACTGCATCTTTCGATAATATGCAATTTTTCCCATATTATCATAAATTCCGACATTTTTCCAAAAATTCCCTCATTTACCCCACATTTAAAAAAATTGAAAGTTATTCCAAAAAATGAAATTTTCTAATAATATACTGCTTTGCCTATGGTTTTAACATTTGCTAGACAGTTTCATTCAAATTTTTTATATCATGTATTGCCTCCGCCATTTTTGCAAAAATTCCCTCTTTTTCCCCACATTTCCAAAATTTGGGAATGTTATTAAATTACAAAATCTGATAAAAACTCCTCTGAAAAGGGGAATCTATTCTCCATTTTTTTTTTTTTTTCGAAGAGTCCTATGTTTTTCACGTTTTTTTTTTTTTTTTTGGGAAGCCGATTTTTCTCTCATCCCCTCATTTTCCCCATTTTCAACAAAAATTCTGAAGATAATCGAAAAAAATAATGCAAACTAATGTAAATAACTGCATCTATTGTTAATATGAACTTTTTCCCATGTTATCATAAATTCCTAAATTTTCCAAAAATTCCCTCATTTTCCCCATTTTTACAAAATTCGATAGTTGTTCCAAAAACCGAAAATTTACAATAAGATACTACCTTACCTATGGTTTTAACATTTGCTAGTCAGTTTCATTCAAATTTTTTAGGCAATAGATGGCCTTCGCCATTTCGCAAAAATGCCCTCTTTTTCCCTACATTTACAAAATTTGTGACTGTTATCAAATTAGCAAATCTTATAATAATTCCTCTGAAATTCTTAATTTTTTTTCAAAAATTACCATATTTTCCACGTTTTATTGGAAATATTTTTTTTCTGTCATCCCCTCATTTTCCCCATTTTCAACAAAAATTTTGAGAAATATCGATAAAAATAATGCCAACTAATGTAAATAACTGCATCTTTCGATAATGTGCAATTTTTCCCATATTATCATAAATTCCGAAAATTTTCCAAAAATTCCCCCATTTTCCCCACATCTACAAAATTCGAAAATTTTTCCAAAAACCGAAATTTTTCAATATGACAGTATGTCTTGCCTATGGCTGTAACATTTCCTAGTCAGATTAATTAACATTTTTTATAAAATGTATTGTCTCCTCAATTTTTACAAAAATTCCCTCATTTTCCCCACATTCCTAAAAGTGGTTGGCATTGAAAAATTAAAATAATTATGGAATGGGGAAATAATTTTTCCGTTTTACTTTTTCAAAATTTTCCATATTTTCCCCGTTTTTTTTTTTTTTTAAATTGCCATATTTTCTCCGTTATTTTCAAAAATTTCCATATTTTCCCCGTTTAATTGGGAAATTGCGAAATTCAATATTTTCGAATTGATTATAGGATTGCCATTATCATTCTATATCCCAATTGGAAATTTTTTTCCAAAAAAAATTCTTTTTGAAGACACATTAAGGGTTGCCATCCCGGCCATTCGTAACCTTAAAATGTGGCGAAGAAAAAAATTGACTTCCAATGGACTTCTAGTTTTTCCTTCTCGTCTCTATGTTTTGAGGGAAATTTTTAAAAATAAAATAAAATCTCCTTTACTCAGTAGCAAGGATTCTAAAAGGCGGCAGATTAGTGTTGAAATCAAACCCAAACATGATATGTGTTGGGGAGGCCTCAACGCATGCAGCTGATAAAAATTGTGTAAAAAATTCAAAGAATTCAGGGGGGAACCACTTGTCGGAATTGTCGAAAACGGTGGGTGGGGATAAATTATGTGTACGGGTGGCGGCTGATCGAAATCATCGAAAAAATTTGGATCAAAATGGAAATCGGTTTTTAAAACTAAACTATTTTCAACTAGACTAGAGGGTATCCAGTTTCTAATTTTTTTCCCGGTAGAGGGCAGCATTAAAGAGAATTTACCAAAAATTTAGTAAAAAGAGAGAGAGAGATGAGAGAGCGGGAGAGCATACTTACTTTGGACAGGTGTCGACGTTATTACCGCTTATTGCTACCTTGCCTACTTCTATGATGCCGCTGGCTTCGCCTTCCACAACTCGTACACAGCCGTTGAAGTGATGTTTGTAACGGCCACCAGTAAATGATTCCAGATTGGGAGCGCCACCTGTGGACATTATAAAAAAATGTTTATTTTTTCCTCAAAGAAATCTTCCGACTTCCACTTACCAATAAACACATGACCTGGCAGGCTCATGGTATCTTTACCAGTATCCTTGGTCTCATCGGCATACAGAATATGATCCAGCTCCAAGATGGCGGTATTGTCGGTACGTTTAATCAAGAGAATATGGCGTATACCATCATCCACACGCTTGTCGGGATTGCGAATGACCTTCTCTTCACCATTCAAACGGAATGCAAATTCGGCAATGCCATCAACAATGGCCACGGCCATGAAATCTTGGCCGGTATAGGCTTCGCCCTTGGGCTGGCCCCACCACAGCAAGAGACCATCCGGAGCGGTTGTGGAGAATACCATGGCAGCACTGGAGAATTTTTGCTCAACATTTTCATCGAACTGTGAACGATTCAATTCCAAATAGCCATTGCCATGGAAATTGGCATCGAATTGTAGGGAAATATCTAAAAAATAGAAAATTAAAAAAAATTCTCAAATTTTTTGAAAATTTTCCCAACTCACGATCTTCACAATGTTTGCCGGCAAAGCCTATGTTACACAGACACACAGCCTCGTCGTTTTCCACAACACAGGTCCCGCCATTTTCACACGGGTCACTGGAGCAGGCATTTTGTTCGACATCGTGGTCAAAGGTTTCGTTCTGTTCGATTTCATTGATTTCACCACAGTTTTGAATATTGGCAGCATCCTGGATATCGGCAATCAGATTCAATTGGCGTTGTCCCTCAAAGAGCTACAAAAAAAAAACAAAAAAAAAATTAAATTTATTAAAAATACAAAAAAAAAAAGAAAATCAATTTTCAAAAAAAAAAAAAATGGAAAAATTCAGAAAATTTGGATATTTCGGGTGAGAGATAAAATAAAAGAAACTGCAAAATAATGTATGTATTACAATATTATTATAGCCTAAACCTCTTTGTAAAAAATTCCCCAATTTTTTTCTAAAATTCCCTTATTTTCCCCATTTCAAAAATTCGGATGGGTGAGAGATAAAACAAAAAAACTGCAAAATTATGTACCTATCACAATTTAATTATAGCCAAAACTTTTTGGAAAATATTCCCTAATTCCAAGATTTTTTTCTAAAATTCCCTCATTTTCCCCATTTCCAAAAAAGCCCCCATTTTCCCCAAAAGGGGAAAATTTGGATGTTTCGGGTGAGTGTAAAATAAAACAAATTTCAAAATAATGTATGTATCACAATATTATTATAATCTGAACTTCTCTGGAAAATATTCCCCAACTCCAAGCTTTTTTTTTTAATTCCCTCATTTTCCCCATTTTTTCCATAAAAATCCGAAAATTTCTGAAAAGATAAGCTCTAATCAAAGTAGGTAACGGCATTCCTTGATAATATGGCACTTTTCTTAATTTTCCACAATTCCTAGATTTTTTCCAAAATTCCCTCATTATCCCCACTTTCAGAAAATCGCACAATATTTCCAAAAAATGCAAAATTTGTCAACAAAATATTGTTTCCCCTTTTCTGACTAGATAAACTGTTAGGTTTTTCATTTTTTTTTTAAAAAAAATCCCCCAATTTCCCCTAAAGGGGAAAATTTGGATATTTCGGGTGAGTGAGAGATAAAGTAATTATTATTATAACCCGAACTTCAATTTCCAATTTTCCAATTTTTTCTAAAAATCCCTCATTTTCCCCATTTTCAAATTTCGGGTGGGTGAGAGATAAAAAAATCTGCACTATTATGTATGCATCACAATACTATTATAACCTGAAACTCTTTGGAAAATATTCCCTAATTCCAAGTTTTTTTTCTAAAATTCCCTCATTTTCCCCATTTCCAAAAAAACTTCCATTTTCCCATTTTGGGTATTTCGGCTGAGTGTAAAATAAAAGAAATTTCTAATAATGCATGAATCACAATATCATTACAACCTGAACCTCTTTGGAAAATATTTGATAATTCCAAGATTTTTTTTTTTTTTTTTCTAAAATTCCCTCTTTTTCCCCATTTCCAAAAAAAATCCCAAACTTTCTGAGAACTACTGAAAAGATAAATTGTAATCAATGTAATTGTAATTAAAAATATGATAATTTTCTAAAATTTCCACAATTCCAAGATTTTTGCCAAAATTCCCTCATTAACCCCACTTTCAGGAAATCGCATAATATTTCCAAAAAAACCCACATTTCTCAACAAAATATTGTTTGCCCCGTTTCTGACTACATTAAACAGTTGGGTTTTACTTTTTTTTTCAAAAATTCCATTTTTCGAAAAATCTACAAATTTCCCTTTTTGTAACAAAATTAACGCAAACTAATGTAAATATCATTACTTCTGGATAATATGAATAATTCATTTTTCAATAAATCCCAATTTTCAAAGATTTTCTAAAATTCCCTCATTGCTGAAAAATATTGAAGAAATAAATTCTTATCAAAGTAGGTAATAGCATTTCTTGATAATATGGCACTTTTCTTAAATTTTCACAATTCCAAGTTTTTTTTTTCCAAAATTCCCTCATTATCCGCACTTTTAAAAAATTAATATTTCCCAAAAAAAGGCAAAATTTCTCAACAAAATATTGTTTCTCCCTTTTCTGGCTACATTAACTAGTCGGTTTTACAATTTTTTTTTCAAAAAATTCCATTTTTCGAAAAATCTACAAATTTCCTTTTTTGGGAAATTTTTGAAAGTTCTAAAATTTTATTAATTTCATTTCATTGGATTTCTGAATACATTACCTAGTCAGATTTATATATTTTTTAAAAAAATCGCATTTGTTCAAAAAAATTCCCTTATTTTCCCCACTTTTAGAAAATCCGAAAATTTTTATAAAGAAAACAAACAAATTTCATTTCATTGCTTTTCTGAATACATTAGCTAGTCATATTTATATTTTTTTTTTAGAAATTCGTAATTTTTCAGAAAATTCCCAAATTTCCCCAGATGGGGAAAATGTGGAAATTTGCAAGGATTGTCAAATAATTAATGTAAATGATTTTAAACTTAATTATATATCGCTAATTAATTTTTTTTTCTCTATTTTCCCTAATTCCCAAACTTTTTCAAGAATTTCCTCATTTTCCCCACTTTTTAAAAATCAGGCAATTTTGACAAATTAACAGCCGTTTTCTTAGAAAAAGTATGTTCCTGGTGTGGTGTGAATCAGATATTGAGCCAAATTAACTCGAATTTTTACATGTCCTCAATTTTCTCCGGTAAAGAAATTTTAGAAATCTAAGAAGAAATTTTTGAAACTTTTTTAAATATCCCTCAATTCTCCCCGCTTATTTTAAATTATTAAAAAATATTTCAAAATAAAAGATTTATTTGCAAAAAAATAACAATTTCCCCTTTAACTTCAATAATCCCTTGGATTTTTAAAAATTCCTAAATTTTAATCCTTTTGTGGAAATATGAAAATTATTGGGGAAATATGTTTGTTGTGGAAGTTTCTGAGTAATAATTGACACATTATCATAAAATCTCTTATATCGAGAGATTTTTAAAAACTACCGTATTTTCCCCACTTTTCAAAAAATGAAAATTAATCGCGAAAAATATCTGCTTTCGATATCGCACAGCAAAAATTGTCATTATATTACAAATTTTTTAATTTAATTGTCATTTTATCTCAAAGTCTTAAATTCCAAAATCAATTGAAAAATTCCCTCATTTTCCACACTTATCAAAAAATAATATTTTCAAAAAAAAAAATTGTTGTCTAAATATCTAAGAAATAATTATAATTTTCCCGAAAATTTCCCTATCCCGTGAGATTTTCAAAAATCCCCACAAACTCTACCTAAAATTTCAATTAGTGGCAAAATTATCTCAAAGTAATTTTTGACTTAAATACTTGTTTGCAAATATTTACATTTAATTTTTCAAAAATCATTAAATTTTTAAAAATCCCCTAATTTTCCCCACTTGTCAAAAATTCAAATAATTTGTAAATTTTTTTTTTTTGAACATATTTGTTAATTCTTTGCAAAAAATCCACTAGCCCGAGATATTTTTAAAAATCCCCTCATTTTCCCCACTTTTCAAAAAATGTTCCCACTTGTCATAAAATGAAAATTAAGTGCAAAAAATGTTTGTTTTCGAAATTTCCGCGTAATAATTCTGTCATTTTTCACAAAATCTTAAATTCCAAAATCAATTTAAAAATTCCCTCATTTTCCCCACTTGTCAAAAAACGATACTTTAAAAAAAGTCGAAATATCTGAGTAATAATTGTAATTTTTTTTTTCAAAAATTTCCCTATCCCTTAAGATTTTCAAAAAATCCCCACAGTTTTCCCACTCTTCCTAAAATCTCAATTTTTAGCAAAATTACCTCAAAGAAATTTTTGACTTAAATACTGGTTTGCAAATATGAACAATTTCCATAGATTTTCAAAAATCATCAATTTTTTAAAAATCCCCTCATTTTCCCCACTTTTCAAAAAACCAAAATAATATAAAAATTTGTGATTTTCGAACATTCTGTGTAATATTTGTTATTTTTCCACAAAATCCACTAGCCCGAGAGATTTTCGAATATCCTCCATTTCCCCACTTTTCAAAAAATTGATATAATTTGTAAAAATTGTGTTTTTCGAACATTCTGGTTAATATTTGTTAATTTTTTCCACAAAATCCACTAGCCTGAGAGATTTGCAAAAATCCCCTCATTTTTTCCACTTTTCAAAAAACGAAAAAAATAAAAAAGGTGATTTCCGAACATTCTGGGAAATATTACTTAATTTTTTGCACTAAATCCACAAGTCCGGGAGATTTTCAAAAATCCCCTTATTTTCACCACTTTTCAAAAAATTAAAATAATTTGTATAAAATGTGTTTTTCGAACATTCTGGATAATATTTGTTAATTTTTTCCACAAAATCCACTAGCCCGAAAGATTTTCAAAAATCCCCTCATTTTCCCCACTTTTCAAAAAATTTAAATAGTTTATAAAAATTATGTTTTTCTAACATTCAATTTTTTCTTTTTCTAATAATATATTTGTTGAATTTTTTTTACAAAATCCACTAGCCCGAGAGATTTTCAAAAATTCCCTCAATTTCCCCAGTTGTCAAAAAATTAAAATGATTTTTAAAAATTGTGTTTTTCGAACATTCTGGGTAATATTGGTTAATTTTTTCCACAAAATCCCCTAGCCCGGGAGATTTTAAAAAATTCCCTCATTTTCCCCACTTTTCAAAAAAACGAAAAAAATAAAATGTGTGTGTTTTCTAACATTCTGGATAAAATTTGTTAATTTTTTCACACAAAATCCACTAAAATCCGAGAGATTTTCAAAAATCCCCTCATTTTCCCCATTTTTCAAAAAACGTGGAAAAATAAAAAATTATTTTTTCTAACATTCCGAATAATATTTCCTAATTTTTCCCACAAATTCCACTAGCCCGGGAGATTTTCAAAATCCCCTTATGTTCCCCACTTTTCAAAAAATGTTAAGTTTTTGTTAAAAATGCAAGGCAAAAATAATGCCAAAATTTCCCCAATTTCAATTTCGCTCCCTTTTTCCCTCCACCGTGACTACTTACATTCGATATACAGCCATCAAATCCTTGGGTAATATTCACATCGCGATTCAGGGTAATCTTTTCATGATCGAAACCGCCAACATACATTGGTGTCTTGATGTACAGAGTTCTGGCAGCTCCAGCAGCCTTGGCCTTCTGTTCGGGATCGGTGCCGACACGCAAAATACCCTCACCGAAGCGACGGGCAATTTCAATTTCAGTCCATTTATTGGCGGGCAAAGGATGTAGGGATCTCACCACGACCGGTTTCAAACGAGCTCCGGTGTTGATGATCAATTCGACATGTTTGTTGCGCAAGACGACCGCGACATAGTCACCGCTGGGCAGGCGAGATTCGGCGGCATACAAGAGCACGGCATCCTCTAGACTATTGGGGCGAACTTGGAATTTGATGTTCAGTTTGGAGGCCCGGGGGGTACTGAAAAGAAAACAAATTAAGTCTAGTGTCTAATAGAGCGGAATTGCCCCAATAGCTTACCCATAGGCGGCGAAACTGTTCTTCTTGAAGGCCAAGCTATTCTCGTTCAGGTGTTCAATGTACTGGCAACGATCTCCGGTCTTGTTCAGGGGACACAGGCATTCCATGCCGGTTTCGGTGTTTTCACAACGTCCGGTACCACAGATGCCGGGCGTACATTGGGTACCCTCAACGGCACAATGACGTCCAGTCCAGCCCTGTTGGCAAACACAGGTGTAACCCATTTCCGTTTGACTCTCCAGGCAAATGCCGCTGTTCGAGCAGGGATTCGAGTCACATGGTTTGCAGGCGGTAATGCCTTCCTTCATCTTAGCCTCTTTCATCAGCTCAATGATGCTGTCCTGCAGGGTCAGGCGGCTGATGCAACCGGCAAAGCCAACCTGCTGTTCAATGGCCTCTTCGGGTAGAATATCCCAGCTGGGCACACCACCCAAATACAAATCTTCAGCCAAATCCAAGGATGAGGAGGCGGACAAGGTGGGGAAGGCAATGGGATGTTCACCATCGACCTGCATGTAGCCATCGCGACGGAAACGATGTACCCTAATGGTGTGCCACTCATTGAGGGCCAAGGCTTGTTCGCCACGCACAATCATGGTCTTGCCATCCAAATCGAAACGGAATTCCGGATATTGGTCATTCAGGGACAAGGAGATATAGTCACCGTTTCCACGCTTCTGGCCGTTGAAGAGTAGCAGACCATCACCCTGTTCGGGGCGGAAGGTGATGTCAAAATTGAATTTCACATAGGAGTCACGGAGGGTGGGGAAGGACATATAGCTGAGGGGTTCCTGATGGAAGTGGGGTATGGCACCGGTCACAACCAAGATGGTGGGATAGTCCACAGATTCTCCATTGGGAGCGGTGGCGGTACACACATAGGTACCGGCATCATTGGCCTGGACATTTTGCAGACTCAAGGTGTCCTGGAAAACAAAATTGAATTTAATTTTTCAAAAAAAAATCTTCCAGAAAATTTTCAGAACACTTACACTCAAAATATCCGTGCCCATTTGCATCTGGCCATATTGGCGGGACCATCTGTAGTGTGGCGACAGGTGAGCATCTTCGGCATCGCAGTGCAGTTTTACAGCTGAACCCACCTCGGCATGTTCGATTTTGGGATGTTTCCATTCATGGGTGTTGGCTTCAATGGCCAATTCATAGCTGGTGGTGTAGAGGTCGCCCTCGTCGGTCTTGCATTTGCACAGATAGTTGCCGGCATCGTCGGGTGTTACATGGTTGATGATCAGGCGATTGCCAATTTGCTAAGGAGGGGAAAAGAAGATAAAATAAATAATAAATTTATCGGTTATCGATAAAAAAAATTATCGGTTATCGATAAATAAAATTTATCGAAAAATTACGGATTTCGATTTTTTATCAATTCAAAGATCTTTGAAAACATTAGAATTTAACTATTTAAATAATTTAAAAATTTTTAATTTTTCTTAATAATCGATTTCGATAAATTAGTGTTATCGATAAAATGAGGAATTTGAATTGTTCCAAGTCTGTAAAATTTTTTGATTTAAATGTTTAAAATAAAAAAGGAAAAAAAGAACAATTCCAAAATAATCGATTTCGATAAATTCATGTTATCGATAAAATTGGAAAATCCAGTGCCTTTTGAAATTCATTCTACTTAATCATTTTCAAACTCTTAACAATTAAATAATTTATTTTTTGTAATTTCCTCAATAATCGATTTCGATAAATCCATGTTATCGATAAAAAATAAAAATTTTCAATAACTATTATATATTATTATTGCAAAAACATTTGATAAAAAACACTTGAAGAAATATATATTTGAATTTTATTTACAATCGCTATCGATAAATTAGTGTTATCGAAGTATTGATTTATTCAAAACTTTAAAAATCTAAAAAATGTATTACATCCTTTAAAAAGTTTAAAAATCTTTTAAATTTTAATATTTGAAATATTGAAAAATTTGAAATTGTAAAAATATGAATTTCGATAAATCCATGTTATCGATAACATAAATGTTATTTAAGCTATCGTAATTCAAGTTACTTAATTTGACATAAGTCGCGTAAAAAATACTTGGAAATATATACAAAAGAAAAAAAATACTTAAAATCTTTATCGATAATTCGATAATTAGTGTTATCGAAAAATTGATTTATTGAAAAATTAACCATTTAAAAATTTACAACCTTTAAAATATTTACAAAATTGGAAAATGAATAAAACTTATCCGTAATCGATTTCGATAAATTCATGTTATCGATAATATTTTATACAAAAGCAGCTCAACATACGATTTTTTAAATAAGGAAATATTATTTTAAACGAAAAATTTAATTAAAAAGATTTATTTGTTTATAGTGGATTTCGATAAATCAGTGTTATCGATTACATAATTGGAACATTTCAAATTTTGTAAAATCGATAAATTTAAATTTTCATTTTATTCGAAGTTTGCGAATCACATCTTTAATTTTCCTGAAAAAATCAAGTTTAATCGTAAATTGCGATAAATCAGTGTTATCGATAAAATATCGATATGACTATCCATACACTATATGTTTAATGTTATCGAAATTAAGTTTCTAAAGCTTTTAGTTTGTCAGTGTTTTCTGCCGATAAATTCCTATGAAAATCATATCGATTATTTTCGATAAATATCTTCCTGTCAATATTTAATGTTATCGAAATTTTCTATTTTTTGATTCCAGGTAAATCAAAATATATAAAATGTCGAATTTTTAGTGAAAAATGTTAAATATTAATTTATCGAAAATTTTTAATAATAAAAATATCGATAATTTTCGATAACTAATTATGGATAATGGTAATCTACCAATTTGGCTAAATTACCATTCACATGATATTATATTGGCAATGCTTTTAATTTTTGTCGAAAATATTTAAATAATATTTTATCGATAAATAATTATCGAAAAAAAATTTTAATGTTATCGTAATTAAGTTTCTAAAGCTTTTAAATGAAAATTGTTTGTTAATGTAAAATATTAATTTATCGAAAATTTTTAATAATGAAAATATCGATATTTTTCGATAAATAGTAATTATCGATAAAGGTAATTTAATAATTATTGACAATGCTTTGTCAATTTTTATCGAAAATATTTAAATATTATTTTGGCGATAAATAATTATCGATAAACATTTGTAGATATTTAATGTCATCGAAATTAAGTTTCTAAGGTTTTTTATTGGCATTTTTTTATGTTTTCTGTGAAAAGTTATTGTTTATCGATACATTCCTATAACCTTAGTGAAGATCATTTCGGTTATTTTTGATAAATATTTTTTGTCGATATTTAATGTTATCGAAATGTTGTATATTTTGATTCTAAGTAAATCATTAAAAATTGAAAAATTTTAAATATTAATTTAAATAATTAATTAATTAATTTATCGAATTTTATTATCGATAAATTTCGATAAATAATTAAAATTTAATGTTATCGAAATGTTGTATAAAAAATAAAAATTAAAATATTAATTTATCGAAAAATTTTGTTAAATAATTATCGATAAATTTCGATAAATATATTTTGTCGATATTTAATGTTATCGAAATGTTTTCTTTTTTTCTATCTACCTACATTATTTTATAATATTAGTCGAACGTTTTTTAATTTTTATTTATCGTTAGTTTCGATTATTTTCGTTACATACTTTTCGATTATTTAATGTTATCGAAATTTTGTATTTTTTGATTCTAGGTTAATTAAAATATATAAAATTTCTAATTTTTATTGAAAAATGTTAAACGTTAATTTATCGAAATTTTCAATAAATGATTATCGATAATTTTAGAAAAAATAATTTTCGATAAAATTCGATTGTTTATCGATACATTCCTATTTCAATTATTTTCGAAAAATATTTTTGTCGATATTTAATGTTATCGAAATGATGTATATTTTGATTCTAGGTAAATCATTGAAAATTTAAAAAATGTAAATATTAATTTATCGGAAATTTTTGTTAAATAATTATCGATAAATTTCGATAAATATTTTTTTTCGATATTTCATGTTATCGAAATATTTTTTTTATCTACCTACATTATTTTTAATATTAGTCAAATGTTTTTTAATATTTATTTATCGTCAGTTTCGATTACTTTCGTTACATATTTTTTCCGATATTTAATGTTATCGAAATTTTGTATTTTTTATTCTAAGTAAATTAATATATACAAAATTTCGAATTATTGTTGAAAATTTTTAAATATTAATTTATCGAAAATTTCCAATAAATAATTATCGATAATTTTCGATAAATACCTATAAATCTGGACTATTATGGAAATTGAATTTTTCAATTTGTTTGTAAATCTTTTATCAACTTTCCTGTGCCGAAGATTTTTAGTTATCGTTTATCGATAAATTCCGATAACTTGTTATCGGTTATCGAAATTTTCAATTCGTTTCCAACTCACCTTAATGTGTAGTGGCAGTGGTTTGCCATCGGCCCGTTCCCAAACGACATCGGTATAGCTGTTATCGGACGAATAGCACTCCACCTCGGTCGATTCGCCAACGCGCAAATTCGAATGTTGCTGATCCAATTTCAAACTTAAATCACGATGACGTGGTGTTGTCGTGGAATAGTGCGGAAGTGGGGCAGGAGGATAATAGGGCTGGGGCATGGGTCTTACACCAGCTGTTTTTTGGTTTGATTTTGATAATCATGTTTGATTTTGTAGAGCCAATTATTGAGTTGTTTGAATGTTTTTGTTTTTTGATTTTTTTTTCGGTGTGGAGAGAAGTATGTAGGGTGGATTGTGAGATTTGTTGGTTGGTTGGTAGTGGTGGTGCATGTGGATATGTGTGTGTAGTTTTGGATTTTGAATTTTCAGGTTACAACGCAGTTAAAAATCACAACAAAAATACAAATTCGGGCCAATTGAGTGGAACAAACGAAATGTTGGGTGTTAGGACAATTTCAGACGCCGGAATTGGATTTTGGTTTTTTGTTTTTTTTTTGACGATTTCGGATACAGCAACATGTTTCGTGGCATTTGATTTTTGGTGGTTGATGATGAACGATGATCACACGATTTTGTTTTTTTTTTGTTTGTTTCGAAAAATATATATTTTTTTGGTTTTTAAATATTTGGATGAAATTTCAGCATTACACAGAGACAGATGAGAGCACATAGACAGACGTTCAGGGTGAAGAATTTCGACAGAATTTTGTGGTGCGAGATTTTTAGCCATGGTTTGGTTTTCGATTTTTTGTTTTTGGTTTTTGGTACGAAAGAGAATGTGAAAAATACATAGAAATAAACATAAATTATGTTAGCAATTTTTTTGTTTTGATAAAGCAATAATTTCGATAAGATCGATAAGACGACAAACAAACAAATGATCGATAATTTTTGTAACTAATTTCAAATTGGGATTTAAAATAACACAAATAATACGTTCTAAATACAAATAATTATTTGGACATTTTTTTTCTAAAGAATATTAACCAACACCTTTAAAAACTAATAATCGATAATGTCGATAAGTTTCAAATTTTGGAAAATAACTATTTAACAAGGAGACAATAATACTTAAATGGAGCTTAATTTATAGATTTACATCGATTTTCTGGGCTAAACACCCTAAAAATAAACAGAAATCAGGAGAAACGACATTCGATAAATTTCGATAACTGATAAAATGCAATAAATTACAATATAAATTATGAGACTCAATTTCAAATCGTAGAAACGTTCCAAAATCATTCTTTGGAAAAATTACACAAAAATATCAAAAAAAAAATTTTTTTTCGATAACTTTCGATAAATGTAAATATTATGGCAAATTAATATTCAACTTGTGGAATTTTGAGCTAAATTTATGGAACTATATTTAATATCTGATAATCATAGAGAAAACAGAAGAAAAACGCTTTCGATAAATTTCGATAACTGGTAGAAAAATTCACTAAAATTACAACTTAAATTGAATTTTATGCTCAAAACTAATAAATATATATGGAATCTTTAAAAAATCCCTTGAAAAATGATGCAAATAATCAAAATCTCTTTCGATAACTTTCGATAAATATCAAAATAATGGCAAAATAATATTTAAATTGTGGAATATTGAACAGAATTTAAGATATTGCATTTAATTTCTAAGAAATGTCTCAATACACATGAAGAGAAAACATGAGAAAAACGTTATCGATAAGTTTCGATAAATGATTGAGAGCAATAAATTGCAATGGAAACAAAATATCGTGCAGATATATAATAAATATGCATGATTTTGAAGAATATTTCATGAAAAAATCAAGCATAATAAGGGAAAATGTCGTTCGATAACTTTCGATAAATGCCGTTTCTATGGAAATTTTAGGGAAATGTATATTTCCATTTCAAGTGTCTCTGTTTTCTTAAAGGCAACAGAATTATTGTTTCCCTGGAATAAATATAATAAAATTAGGAAAATTTTGCCGAAATAATGCATTTATCGAAAGTTATCGAAATGCACAACTACCGCATATGTGAAAGTTTTCGTTTCGGAAGGTTAATTTTTCGTTCCCTACAATAAATGTAAACAATTTTTATATATTTTCCCAAAAATATTGACAATTTACATACATTTTTTTCTCAAAAAAATTGACTTTATCGATAGTTATCGAAATGTAAAAATTAATGAACGGGAGAAATTATCTATCCAAAGGCCTGAGTTTTCTTCAAAGCAGCAAACTTATTGCTTCCCTGGCATTTTTATGATAAAATTAGCTGAATTTTGCTAAAATAATGCATTTATCGAATGTTATCGAAATGCACAAATATTACATTAGTGAAAATTTTCGTTTCGGAAGGTTATATTTTCATTCCCTACAATAAATGTAAACAATTTACATATATTTTTTCTCAAAAAATTGACTTTATCGATAGTTATCGAAATGTAAAAATCAATGAATAGGGAAAATTGTGTATCCAAAGGCCTGTGTTTTCTTCAAGGCAGTAAAATTATTGTTCCCCTGGAATAAATATGTCAAAATTAGCTACATTTTGCCGAAATAATGCATTTATCGAAAGTTATCGAAATGCACAATTATCGCATAATTGAAAATTTCTGTTTCGGAAGGTTGCATTTTCTTTACCCGTATAAAATGTAAACAAATTTCGAAAAATATCGAGTTTATCGATAGTTATCGAAATGTAAAAACCATTGAATGGGGGAAAATTATGTATCCAAAAGGTCTGAGCTTTCTTCAAAGCAGTAAAATTATGACTCCCCTGAAATAATTATGATAAAATTAGTTAAATTTTACTGAAATAATGCATTTATCGAAAGTTATCGAAATGCACAACTATGGCATAAGTAAAAATTTCCGTTTTGAAAGGCTTCTTTATTGCTTCCTCTGCAATAAATGTGAAAAATTTACATGTATTTCCCCAAAAATATTGATTTTATCGATAGTTATCGAAATGTAAAAATTAATGAATGGGGGAAAATTGTGTATCCAAAGGTCTGAGCTTTCTTAAAAGCAGTAAAATTATTGTTCCCCTGGATTAATTATGATAAAATTAGCTGAATTTGGCTAAAATAATGCATTTATCGAAAGTTATCGAAATGCACAACTATGGCATAAGTAAAAATTTCCGTTTTGAAAGGCTTCTTTATTGCTTCCTCTGCAATAAATGTGAAAAATTTACATGTATTTCCCCAAAAATATTGATTTTATCGATAGTTATCGAAATGTAAAAATTAATGAATGGGGGAAAAATTGTGTATCCAAAGGTCTGAGCTTTCTTAAAAGCAGTAAAATTATGACTCCCCTGGAATAAATATGATAAAATTAGCTAAATTTTGCCAAAATAATGCGTTTATCGAAAGTTATCGAAAAGCACAACTATCGCATTAATGAATTTTTTCATTTCGGAGGGCTTCTTATTATAAATTATTATTTCCCGGGAATAATAAGGCGAAAAAATCACAAATTTTCGTAATCCATTGTGTTATCGAGAGTTATCGAAATGTAATTACTCCTTAAAATGGCGATTTTAAAGCACTTTGTGTGCCAATCTGAATTTTTTTATGCTTAAATATGAAATATTTTTGAATAATATTGAATTTACCGAAATGGATTTTGATTTTTTTTATTAAATTATTTTTTTTTTATTAAAATATTTAAATATTGAATATTTTTGAATTATATTGAAGTTACCGAAATGGATTTTGATTTTTTTTTTTAATATTTTATTGAAAAGTTTTAAACATTAATTTATCAAAATTTTTCAATAATTAAAATATCGATAATTTTCAATAAATAATTTATCGATAATTTTCGATAAATAACTATAGATCTGGACTATTATGGAAATCGAATGTTTTAATTTGTTTGTAAATCTTTTATTAACTTTCCTGTGGGAAAGGATTTTTAATTATCGTTTATCGATAATTTTCGATAACTCGAAGTTACCGAAATATTGATGTTACCCAAATGGATTTTGATTTCTTATAATTTTTTTTTAAATATTTTTTTAAATATTTTTTTAAATATTTTTTTAAATATTTTATTTAAATATTTTTTTTAAATATTTTTTTAAATATTTTTTTTAATTTTTTATTTTAAATATTTTTTTTTTAATTTTTTATTTTAAAATATTTTTTATTTTTTTTAAATAGTTTTTAATTTTCAAATATTTTTTTTTTTGTAAATTAATATTAATGTCTCCTTGTTAAAAATTCTATTACTTAAAACAGGGGTTTATTTACAAAATTTTGGTTTTTGAATTTTTTTCTAAAATAATTTTTTAAAAATTTATTTTTTTAAATTTATTTGTAATTGTTAGTTTTTTATTATTATTTTTTTATTATTAAAATAGCATGCAAACAAACAAAAAAATGAGTTGTTAGTGTCTACAAAAACAAAAGCAATGTGGGTTGGTGAAAGAGTATTGTCACAGAATGGTGAGTGGTGAATTTTAAATGAAAATATTTTGAATTATGGGGTTTAGAAAAAAAATAATATTCCTAAACATTTCAAATCCTATTTTTTGTTTAGAAAAATATGCATTCCTTCAAGTCCTAAGCAGAAAGGGAGAGTGGTTATTATGATATTCTCTCTCTCTCTCTCTCCCTCTCCTCTAAAACATAACCTGTGCCTCAGTGTTCTATTTTTTTTGGGTGTTTGTGTGTGTTATCAATTCTTGTGCCATTTCTAATGGGTGTTGCCATCATGTTTGCTTGCAGAAGTGTCAACAAATGCATTCTCTAAAGGTGTCAAATTTAATTGGTTTTGGTGAGCTTTTGTTTTTGCTATTTTTTTCTTGCACTCTAAATGGCTTTCCGCTGGTGGTTTGTGGTTGGCCACACTGTTGGCCATTTTTTCATATGGTTTTGGCCAAGTGTCATCAAGTTGTGTTTAGCTACCATAATTTTGTGATAAATGCATTTCCAAACCTACTTTTCATTTTTTGCTGTTTAACTAAATAGGTACAACAAAAAAGGTAATTAAATTGTTATCGATAACAAGAAAATACATTGGGTGTGTGGTGTTCGTTTTTTGGTTTCCAACAGCTAAATTGAGTAATATTTTTTTTTTTTGGTTTTACTTTTTTCCACAAATAACATAAGTGTAAACAAATAAAATTGTTGTTGTAAAAAGAAAATTAAGACCAACCGAATTTGAGGGGTTTTCACATGGAAGACATCATGTCGGCGGGTGGTTGGGGCTTGATCGGTTGCGGGGCGGTGGTGATGATCTGCGGCTTTGCCTCGGCAAAGGGAATTTCCTTTTGTTGCGTACAACTCCGGCATCGGATACTGACGGTTGTGTTTCTTCCAGCGTTATAGTTTGTGGCCTGCCACTTGGTGGCGCCTCAGTTCGGGTGCAATTGAATTCATCCGAATGATCGGTACAATCGTGTATGCCATCGCAGACCATGTGTTTGGCAACGCAGGTGTGCGGATGCGAGACACACTTAAAATCACTGGGCAGACAGGCGCCGCCGTTGTGGGTATTAAAACCAGATGGCGCTGCCAGAGAGCCAGGTGCTGGTGGCAATGCAATCGGTGCGGTATCGGGTGTCAATGGTATGGTTTTGATTTTCCTCAATGGCTTATAGTCTTTTGATTCATGGGGGAAGCGGGTTTTTAAGTTGAGTTTGACACACATTTTTTTTTTTCAAAAAAATAAATTTTGAAGTTGTGGTCGGTCACATCCGAATTTTGTTGAGTGTTGTGGTAGTGTTTGTTTTTTGGTTTGTTTTGCAGGTAGGGGTTTTAAAAATAAACGTATTTAGTTACAATTTTTTTAAAAAACATCTTTTTCAAAAATACTGAGTTAAATGCAAAGAATTCTTGATTTTAAAAAAATGCAAAGCGATTTTTTTAACAAATATCAGGTGGTGGGGATCACAACCTAGGGGGCCAGGCAAATTGTATGGGAAATACAAATGGGAAATTCAACACAACACATTGAGGTGGCACACAGACAGGAGAAT